CTACAAGCAAGTGGATGGAGTGGCCATGGGTTCGCCGGTCTCTCCCGTTGTAGCTGACATCTTCATGGAGGCCTTCGAGGAGACCGCCCTAAACACATCACCTGTGACCCCTCGTTTCTACAAGCGGTATGTAGATGACACTTTCACAATATTACCATCTGATAAAATATCTGTATTCTTAGAACATCTTAACTCCATAAACCCTAAAATACAATTTACAATGGAATTGGAGTCTAATAATTCTTTAGCTTTCTTAGATGTATTAGTTATACGTAACCCAGATAACACCTTAAGTCATACTGTGTATCGAAAGAAGACCCATACTGATAGGTACTTGAATGGTGAATCTCACCACCACCCTTCACAGTTAGCTACCGTGGGAAAATCTTTGTTTCAGAGGGCACGCGGGATCTGTGACGAGCAACACCTGGCCGGAGAGCTGCAACATGTCAAGCAAGTTCTGCGAGACAACAAGCTGCAAGTGCCGCGCCTACGTCACAGGGACCGAGTGAAACCAGCCACAGTCGAGCGCGTCCCTGCAGTCCTACCTTACATGAGAGGCGTCACTGACAAGATTGGCTACATTCTAAAGCGAGCTTCAATTAAAACTTACTTCAAGCCGCCAAAGAAAATTAGTCAGTTTCTACCACCTGTCAAGTGCCACATCCCTCTACAAGATGCAGGAGTTTACAAGCTTGATTGTGATTGTGGGCTCTCTTACATCGGACAAACAAAGAGATCCATTAGAACCCGGGTCAAAGAACACATAGCTGATGTGAAGCACCGTCGCAATGCAACATCTGCTGTCTGCAAACATAGTCAGGACCGCCCAAGCCATTATATTCGCTTCGATAGACCTCAAATCCTGGCGAAAGAAAACCGATATCGCCCTAGAATGATTCGAGAAGCCATAGAAATTAAAAAACATCCTAATTTCAATAGGGAAGATGGCTGGGTACTACCATCGTCATGGGATCCTGTTATTAATATAATAAAATCAAATAATAAATATAAACATAACAGACAGGCAGATGTAGTAAGTTCATACTGTGTAGATCAAAATGACAGCTTATCAGACTAATATTTTTCATTTTTCATTTGTAAAAGTATATATTAATAGTGTTGCTTAGTAAGTTGTTTTTTAAATAATAGCAAACTAAATTAAAATTATTATCCTTAATTAATTTTAACTTTTTAAATTACACATAGAACAATTATATGGCTTTAATAATTAATACCACATTTTATATTTTTCTTTATGGTTATAAATATAATAATGGCAACACTAAATATAGATTACTAATTAATATTTTAAAATTGTAATAATTATAAAAATAATAGCAAAATTAAATAAATAATTTTCCATATTCAATTATAATTAAAATTATAAAAATGTTTAAAGTTAAAATATTGTAATGTAATTGGTGCAATTTTCATTTTGTTAATTGTGGGTAGGCTGTCTGTAACAACTATACATTCAAGACATGTAACACCTCAGTCTCTCCCGTGACCATGGATGCTGTAAAGCATTCGAAACGTCGGGAAACAAAAATCCAAATAAATCCGCGACAAAATCCGAAAAGATAGTTTTATTTAAAAAGACGGTAACCAATTATGGTAATAGCAAAAAATTGCAATTCCAGTATCTAATACCTATTTCAGAGCAAATAAAAGTTTTGAAGTATGAAGTTAAAGGCCACAAATATGATTAAAATATTATTAAACTCGAGAAATATCAAAAATTGCGGGCAGCGAACCATTTTTATTATTCAGAAGGCGCAAGATTTCGGGAAGTGTAAGAAGGTCGGCGAAAGTGTTAATTTTTAAGCGCGACGACAAAAATCTGATGCCTTAAAGTGAGATGTAAACATACGGATAGGATTAGCGTCCTTTAGTGCCTTTTGTATTTATCCAATTACTTAATATCATACCTAAGTGTGAAAGTAACTCTGTCTGTTACATTTTTACGCTTAATCAGCTAAACCAATTGAGATAAAATTTGGTATGGAGATAGTTTGAGATCCTAGGAAGGACATAGAATAGTCTTTATCCTGGAAATTATCCCTTAAGAGGGTGGAAAGGTGGGAGGGGGGGTGTATGTTTGTATGGAAAATCAATAATTTCTAAAGTAAGAGATTTGTTTTCTTATTTTATATAGTACTTACCTACTTTTCTTTACATATATTCTATACTTACCGTTTAAACGTACGAACCCGAGCGAAGCGAGGGTGAGTCGCTAGTAATATTATGTACAGGTAGACCCATCTTTTGGCAATTTTTAATACTAACTGTAGTCTATATGTTATTCGAGCTATTAGGTCTTCTTTCTACTAAATCTCATCCAAACGTCATCGTCATCGTTCAGCCGTTTCAACTTGAAGAGGACACACGCATGTACACAATCTTTCTTAATCATAACAGTAGTGCGATGTGTTCACGTTTCTAATTTTATTTCCTTAATAATGGCTCCAGCGATTCCGCTCACAACTAAGTCCCGTATGTTTCCTCAAGAGTTAATTCTTAATGCAAATATCATTACGGTGTCGATTTAACGAGATTCATCCCTGTTGGTTTGTTCGCGGACATTTGTTATGTTTTTTACGTGGCTTCATAAAGTCTGTTATAATGAAATTGTGGAGAGGAGATATTCTACCGCAATGGGCGCCAATGTTTAATCCTTTTCTTTCTCTTTTAATTTCATTTGGTGAGATAACTAGAGTTTTTCGGAAGCGTTGAAATAGCTTTGTTTTTGGCGTTCGTTGTTTGTTATGGGAAGATTTTTTTTTGTATTTTTTTATGAATGTAGAAGGTGTAAATAGCAACTTTGTTCAGGATAAGTAAATTTTAGTTTCTTTTCAAACTAGATGGAAATGCGAAAGTCTTTACGTGAGAGTATGCTAAAATATTTTTTTTGGACTTATTTGTACTTTACGTAATTTATTAGTTGAGATTCAAACAAAGCAATGATTATAAGTTAAAAATAAACCTTATAATACTGCAATGTACTACGAATATTATTTCCCTAATGGTGTGTTTTGTCTGAATTTCTATCGGAAAACATATGTATGTGAAAGAATTTACCTATTTATATAAAACCTCATCAATAGCTACAAAAAAAATCGGTTGACAAAAAGGCACTCAACTGTTTTGTCTTTGCCTATTTATATACATATATGTATATAAATAAGTGTTGTTTGTGCAAAACCGTAAGTCTTCGATAGTTTTCACGGATTGCTCTGAAACGTTAGTAAAGTGTTTTTAACTGACTTCCAAAAACGAGGAGGTTCTCAATTCGTCGGAATCTTTTTTTTTATGTATGTTCACCGATTACTCGAAGACGCCTGAACCGATTTGGAAAAAATTGTTTTGTTTGAAAGGGTATTATGAAGCCTTTTATACCACTACTAGATGGTACTGCAGTGTATCAATTTCCATATCGCTTATCCCGCTTATATTCTCGCTTTCTATTTCGATTCCTACAAAAAGTAACAGATTATTCAATTATGAAAAATATTTTCGTTATCTATTTACTAATGAAATCGCAGACAAAGGTGCGTGCATTAATAAAATAATACTACATTTTGAACACAACATTATTTCTATCTAACAATCACACTATAATATCCTAACGATGCTAACTGTCAATATTTTACACTAACGCCCGAGGCTGTGCGATCGGACTGTGGCGTGGAATAGCGCTATTTAAAATATTATTGGCAATAGCAGTGATTTCTAAAACTAGTTTTGCTTTCGCTTTATATTTACATTACTACATAGAATTTTATTGTTTTATCATACTAATATTATTAATAAGTTTGTTGGTCTGTCATTCTCTTTCGTAGCAGGTGTAAACATGGAAGTGTGGAACACTTACATTAGGTATATCAATGTTATACACTCAATATCAGCAGTACAGAAGATGTACTGCGCCGACCCCAAGTGTTTGGGAAATGGGCAGGGAGAAGAAGACCCCCCCCTGGTGGCCCTTCTCGGAGGGCGGTGTACCATGCGGGTTGCTCCTGGTACTTCTCTGATAGCAGAGTAGACCTTGGAGCAACCCCGTGGTTGTTGTGGTCTGCTTCGGCAGACCTGCCGTCGGAGCGTCGTAGTTGAATGCGTAAGCGATCCTGCGACGCCCTTAAGACGGGGGAAGGCTTTGTTGGGTTTTAGTGGGTAGTACTGGCTTTGCCGGTGAGTCCCACACCTCGTGCGTAAATGCATTTCCCAACGTTAAAAAAAAGGGAGAAGAAGACACTCAATGTATCAAGTAGTTTTTGCTGTATATCAGTCTATACCAAAAAACTGAGAGACGCTATAAATTCATATTTTAATCAAACACAGTCTCACTTGCTCAACTGAGCAAAACAAGTGTTTGATTAAAATATGTATTTTAGTCTAATAAAATATCGTCTTAATCTCGTTTAAAATTAATAATGCAAACATTCTACCAAAATTACAATTTTCTGTCTAATTTTGAATAAAAGTTATAGGTTAGAGATTATAGAGGACAAAGTTTAAATTAATACCCAACAATTACCTTTGCTACACCTGAGCTCAAAGTCAGGCAATACTGTTAAATTGGCGAAAATTATTTCGGATTACAGAGATTTTTCTAATTGCAGCTATTCTGCTTGGGACAGCTGTGCTTGGGCGAGGTGGGATTGTGAGAGGGTTCCAGGTATTATAGTTGACATATTTGTTTTTAGGGTTCCGTTTCTCGAAAGAAAAAATGAAATTCTTAAAAGATCATTCACGTGTCCGTTAAACTATTTAATAAGTTAACGATACGGAACATATACGGGTTGAAAGATTTCACATTTCTTTCGAAAACTTGCTAGGTTCTCTAAAATATACAGGTTTTCTCACGATGTTTCCCTCACCATAAGATTTACATCTAATCCAAGCTTAAAGTGTGTGCATTGTATGATGATGTTCTCCTGACCGATTCCGGCCACGGCGGCCAATTTCAATGAGACTAGCCAACTGCGCAGGAGATGTTATAGTGCACAAGTGTACACGCAGATACAAGCGCACTCTCTATTCCTGTCACTCTCATACTCCGGTGGGACGACTGCTCGACACGACCAGTGAGAGTTAAGGCGCGGAACCGACGCGACGGCTCTACGTGCTCTCCGAGGCACGGGGGTGAAACACCGCCAACTTCCCAACTCCGGGCTGTTACTGAGGCATACTATACAGAAAGACTCAATAACTAAACTTGGCCCAACCCGGGACTCGAACCTAGGACCTCCGGGTGTGCAGCCGTACATGTTAGCCACTACACCACCGAGGCAGTTTTTAACTGCATTGTATAGCACTTATTTATATTAGGATTAGATTAAACTATTTCACCGCGGAACCCCAAAAAGGTATAAAATAAAAATAAATTTCTTTTTTTACCATACTTTAGGATATTTTCGGAGGTAAAACATAAGTTAGATTATGTATCATGTATTTTGTGTAGAACTTCAACAAACGTTTACCGGCAATAAATTTTGTGTAAAGATTCCACTTTGTTTTGTATTAAATTATATTTATTTTAGAAATCCTATTTATAATTATATTTATTTTCCTTTTACATACTAAATGTGATCAGAAATATTTAATAGGAGTACTTAGTAGTAATTGTTGACATAATACTTTTTAAAACTTCTCTTCGGATTTTTTCGCGTTTTTGTTTTGATTTTTTTGTACTCGACACGCGACGTTTTAAATGTTTTGATATCACTTGTATTCAGCCCTGTTTAACGTCCCACTATTGGGCACGGGTCTCCCTTCAATACGTGGGGGATTAGGCCATAGTCCGCCACGTTGGCTAAGTGCGGATTGGCGGACTTCACATGACTTCCGAAAACTTGCTAGGTTCTCTCAGACATGCAGGTTTCCTCACGAGGTTTCCTTCACCGTAAGGCCAGTGGTAACCATGTTGGAAAAAAATTGATTTCACTTATTCGCTTTCAATTATTTGTAAAAGACTGGTGTAATGTGTTTAGAAGATTTGTATTGTTCCATACTAAATATATTTTACTTTACAGCTTACTTTAACTAACGTACGGTAGTAAAAGAAAATATGCAACAAGAAAATTTACTTGTATAGCAATGTGTGTCTGTACATCAGAAAAATTAGATTAATTTCATTAATTATTTAATCAGTGAATGAGTGAGTAATATCTATACATATAATAAAATTCCAAGTTGAATGACTGACAAAAATTCTAAAAACTATAGATTCGGCCTCTGTATCGATAATAATGTTTATTTCAATAAGATTTTCCAAAAAATATTTAATGTACAGATTCGGCTTAGTTACAATTTTATTATATGTATAGATGTCAAAAATATATCTAAGACACTATGTGAGTGCTATCTCTCTTCCATATGTATATATAGACTCTCCTTGCCCACGGCTCTGTCTGCGCAGCTTATTTACGTATCGTTATAGCGAGATTTGAGATGAATTTACGAGTATAACCTTCACCTTGGTCAGGTCTAAGTGTTAAGTCCAGTGTGTCTTGAACCATCTACATAATATGACCATAATCCAAATTGAAAAAAAAATACTTAGAAACATCTATTATATTTTCAATAATAGTAAGTCGAATAGACGAAGTGAAAAAATCCTTAATCTATACTAATATTATAAAGAGGTAAAGTTTGTGAGTTTGTGAAATTGTGAGTTTGTGACGTTGTAGGGGGTAATCTCTGGATCTATTGAACCGATTTCGATGAAACTTGGTAAGAAGATAGTTTGAGACTCTGAGAGGGACTTAGGATACTTTTTATGCTCGAAATTATCCTTTAAAGGGGTGAAAATGGGGATGAAAGTTTGTATGGGGAATCAAGGTTGGGACGAGCCCGAGCGAAGCGAGGATGAGTCGCTAGTAAGATATAAAGCTTCATTCAAACGATGCTTACAACTGGAGTCTAGAGCTTCAATACTGAACATCCTTATTTCTTTTAAGTAATAAAATATGTACGGATAAAGTACCCACTTAAACAAAAAAGCAAATTTCCTTCTACATTCACTCATGACTCAAGTAAACAGTTACAAAACCTTCAAAGTTCAAAGGAAGTAACTCAAACTATTAACGTTTGAACCGATCATAGAAGAGGGTGGGAAGAGGGGCTATGTAAAAATATGAGGAAACTTAGCCAATATGTATGTATATTTCATCGTGGACTTTTTGTTTGGATTGCGAACTAGTTTCGATTGTCCTGATGTAAATAAGTCCGTTATTATGATGATTTTTACAATTGTCGTGACGTGTGCGATTATATTACTTACGATTCTTGTATTCAACCCTATTAAACGTCCCACTACTGGGCACGGGCCTTCCTTCCTTCAATACGAGAGCGATCAGGTCATAGTCCATCATGCTGCCCAAGTGCGGGTTGGCGGACTCCTATATCTTTCGAAAACTTGCTAGGTTTTCTCATACATGCTGGTTTCCTCGCGATGTTTTCCTTTACTGTAACACAAGTGGTAATCATGTGCACATGAAAATATCAGAGGTGCGAAACCCGGGATTTGAACCCTCTTCACTCGATTTCCCAAGCAAGCGTGTTACCACAAGGCTATCACTGCCTTTTACAATTCCTAGCAGGTGCAAAATAAGTTTTAATTGGATCAAAATGGACGAAAATATTGTAAATTTTACCTTAATTGCAATGTCAGAAATCAAAGATCAAAATCATTGATCCTATACAGCTTGTGGAACGTCTTATATCGAATCATATACATACCTCTTATTTATGAATGATTCGTAAGAAAAAATCATCCGAATCAGAAAAAATCGTTTTGTGAACTACCTAGAACTACTACCTACTACTACCATTTTACAACCCTAAGAAAATTGTTTTTTTTTTTGACTTGACTATAATTTATAATGTATATGTATGTAATGGTCCTATCAGAATATATCACGAATAGGAGTTTAGAAGTATAGACCTTCTTTAAACTTCATCAATCACTTCAGGCTAAGGAATAATATAGTCGGACCGTTATAGAACTAAACATGAAGCCAAACTATAATGTTTTAAAATACTATACAAATGACAATATCTTTGTCGAGTGAGAAGTAAATAAATGTTGATAAATAAAGCTTACGATTTTTATTATAATAAAGAAAAAGAAATTAAATGAGCTAATACTGTGCTAATGCCATCTCTTTCTTAAGGGGTAGAAAACTAATACTTAAAAAAATCAAACAAAAATAGTATTATTTTTATTATTCATATTGTATTCTCAAAAATTGTATATTAATTTGACTTATATATGTTTTATATGATCCAGGTTTATTAAATGTTATACTCGAGCGTCCAAATAGTTCCAATAGATCGAGCGTCCTTTCATCAGTCTTCTTTCTTCTTAACTAATTCACACGGTGTTGCCACAATATATTTTTATTTTATTCAACCATGGACAAATATACAACAATACATATATAAAATTCATTTCAAATTATTCTTTAAAAAAGTACGTAATATTCTGTATGGCAAAATCGAGAATCGTAGCATAAACAGCAAATCACGCTACTATTTTCGACTTTGACATTTATTTTGGCGGCTACCGTTTATAAAATTATTGAATCTGTTTTTTTAACATAAAGATGTTATTAGCTGGAATTTGATTATATATATAGATATATATTGATTCCTCGGGGTAGCCTGATTCCCTAGAGGACGCGTCCCCAGGTGGCGGATAGGGGGATGCCCGATGGGGGTCAATCCTCCATAGGGTAGGAGGGAAATAAAATACCTCCCGCGGACCACAAGGCCGGAGATGGATTCTCCGTTATCAAACCCCACACGCAGGCTTCTTCGACATACTCGAAGTAGAGACTACGTGCGTGCTGGGTGCTCAGGATGGAGTACTCGGTAGGGATGGCGGCGGATGAGTTCCTAGAGGACCAACGGCGGCGCCCAAGCCCCGTAGTGGGTTACATCCTTGGCGTCAGGTGGCAACCGGCTGTAAAACAGAAGCCAACAACCATACTTATCATGAAAAGACAACACGTAAGGAACACGAGGAATACTAGGGCGTTCCCCTTAAGCGACGTCGGAGATGATGGAACTGCGAAATATGCTAGGGCGTCCCCCAAAAGCGACGGAAGAGCAAAACAGCAAGGCACCGTGACAATGTCCGAACTACGTATTGCTAGCTGGAACATTGGCACGATGACAGGACGCAGCGCTGAATTAAGCGCCATCTTAGAACGACGTCGCATCAACATCTGTTGTGTGCAAGAGACAAAATGGAAGGGTGCAAAATCACGACAAATCGGGAAGGGCTTTAAACTCATATACTACGGTACTGAAAATGGGAAAAATGGGGTCGGGATTATTCTAGATCAACATCTGAGCCAAAAGGTAATAGAAATAAATAGAGCGAGTGACCGCATCATATCTGTAAAACTAGCCTTGGAGAACCAAACCTGCCTCAATATTGTTTGTGTCTACGCGCCCCAGGTCGGCTGCCCTGAAACAGAGAAACAAGACTTCTGGGAAGAACTGTGTACACACATGAATGCTATACCTGTGACTGAACAACGAATTATCTGCGGAGATCTTAATGGGCATGTGGGCAGTGGCGTAGATAGGTTTGAGGGTCATCATGGGGGTTTTGGGTATGGAACACGAAACAAAGAAGGAACCACAATATTGGAATTTGCAGCGTCTCTAAATCTAGCAATAGTAAACACATTTTTTCAAAAGAAAGAGGAACACCTCATTACTTATAAAAGTGGGAAATCCAAAACACAAATCGACTATATAATGACAGATAGAAAGAATCTCAAACATATTAAAGATTGTAAAGTTATTCCAGGCGAACCTTTAACATCACAACATAGATTACTATTAGCAGCTTTAAAACTCAAACGACAAATTAAATATAAAATACCAAGAATAGATAGGATTAAATGGCAGGAACTTAATTCGGAAAAGGGAAGCAATTTCAAGAATAAAGTCTTAGAGTACTTGAGCAACGACTTCTCATCAGACGACTCTCCTACAATAATCTGGTCTAAATTTCAGGATGCCTGTATTGCTCAAGCGAAATCTACACTGGGTATCTCCAAGGGTCCCCTGCATAACGAGAAAGATGCCAAATGGTGGAATAACAACACCAAAGCTACAGTGTCTGAAAAGAAACGTCTGTTCAAGAAATGGCAAGAGAGTGGCTCAGAGGAGGATAAGGTAGAGTACAAACAGGCTAAAAAGATTGCAAGAAGATCAGTTGCAATTGAGAAGGAACATGCAGACCTTGACCTTTATCGGCAACTAGAACTGGCTTCGGACACACAGATATATAGAATAGCGAAGCACAGGCATAATAGCACTAAGGACTTTAGAATTACAAAGTACATCAAAAACAGCAAAGGCATGCTGCTAACATCTGATAAAGATATTTGTAAAAGGTGGTACGAGTATTACCATACATTGCTCAATGAGGAGTTCCCCAGACAGGCTGAAATCGAAGAACCAATAACACAAGGACCCGTAAATCAAATCACCATAACGGAAGTCGAAAAAGCTATTCTGAAAATGAAAAATCACAAAGCCTGCGGGCCTGATGACATTCCAGCTGAACTGTGGAAGTCCTTGAAGGTGGACGGGAAAATATGGCTAACTAATTTGTTTAATAACATCTTAACAGCTGAAAAAATGCCAGATGCTTGGAGAAAAAGCATACTTGTCCCCTTTTACAAAAATAAGGGAGACGTTAGAGAGTGCGGGAACTTCCGGGGGATAAAACTCACTTCACACACCCTTAAAATCTGGGAACGAGTGCTCAGTGAACGCCTAGCATCTTTAATCTCCCTAACGGAAAACCAGTTTGGTTTCACAGCGGGAAAGGGAACCATGGATGCAATCCATGCTGTAAGACTGGTAATGGAAAAAGCTAAAGAAAACGACCAAAACCTGTGGATGGTATTTATAGACCTAGAAAAAGCTTTTGAAAGAGTACCAAGGACTGTGATATGGCAGGCACTTAGGGCGCATAACATACCTGAACACTATATACGCCTCATTAAGGACATGTACAACAACGTCCAAGCCTGCGTCAGGAGCTCGGCAGGTCTATCTGACAGCTTTGACATAAAAGTTGGCGTTCATCAAGGCAGTGCACTGAGCCCTCTGCTATTTAATGTAGTCATGAACTATCTGACGGCAAAAATTCAAAAACCAACTCCGTGGAATCTGTTGTATGCGGACGACGTAGTTCTTATATCTGACAGTGTGCTGAAGCTACAGGAAGACTTAGAGAAATGGAGAGAGTCGCTGGAACAAAATGGCTTACGCATTAGCAGGACAAAAACCGAGTATATGTTCTGTAACTTCAACCCCAGCGCTTCACTTGACTCGGGCATCACACTGGGTGGCACGGCCATCCCTAGAGTTAAAACATTCAAGTATCTAGGATCCGTTCTTTCCGAAGATGGTTCTATTGAAGCGGACATAACACAAAGAATGACATCGGGATGGACGAAGTGGCGCACTCTCACAGGGGTACTATGTGACGCTAAAATGCCAATAAAAACTAAAGGCAAGGTGTATAAAACGGCAGTACGACCAACACTACTGTACGGCAGCGAGGTTTGGGCAACCAAAAAGATTCATGAACAGAAGCTACACACCACCGAAATGCGTATGCTAAGATGGGCGGGAGGAGTAACACTTAAAGACAAAGTACGTAACGAATATATAAGAGGAAGTTTTAAAGTTGCACCCATAACCGACAAAATATTAGAATCAAGGCTCAGATGGTATGGACACGTAATGCGTAGGCCCAACGATTACGTGGTGAAAAAGTGCCTTTCCATTGCAACAAGAAAGAGGGGCAGGGGAAGACCCCAAGCTACTTGGATGACGACTGTCCAGAGGGACTTGAAATGCCTCGGCCTCACCGATGAGGACGCGAACACACGATCTACGTGGCGTCGCATGATAAGGAAAGCTGACCCCGCGTAACGGGATAAGGCGAGGACAAAGAAGAAGAAGATATAGATATATATTGATGTAAGAACTGTATCTAAACTTGATGCCACCAAGAGTTGGACAGTGGAATTTCAATGGCTTTTAAAAAGCTATCTTCCAGAATGGGTTTATTTGGTTGTTCTATACAGAACAATCGGTCAAAAATATATTTTTACGGTTCCGTAGCCAAAAAGCTCATCTTTGTACGTCGGTTTGTCACAGATACTTTACTCGAAAATAGCTATTTAAGGTAACTGGTTTCTAACTACAATTATATAAATTGACTTATTATTGTATCTATTTATTGTTAACGCGCATATAGGTTTCATAAAAATTCGAATGAAATGAAAGTTAATAAAAATCGTTAGCAGTAAAAGCACTCAAATGTATTTTAAAAGATGGAGAGAGCCGCAAACAAGCGCGAAGAGCAGAAAGAACACTTTACAGTTATACTATATCGATACTTTTATTTAAAAAATATGGCCTTTCGAAGAATTGGAATGTTAAAATTTTTTTAAATAATTGTACCTACTACTCTTGCTTCTAGAGTAGTACAACGATTTTTTCTGGATAGATTTCGAAGTGCTATGTACAATAAACATACAATATCACACGTTGTAGGTTTCACGCTTTTCCCTGCTAATCAATATGTCTATGGCATGAATTTACAATAATAATTTATTTTGTGTTAATACAAAACAAATTAGGCTCCGATGCTTTACGTTGCATTTCGCATATCATTTGCCGAAATTACTGTGCGTCGTTACTACACATTGTAGACTTTTGTTTGTTGCTGTATTTGAATTTATTTTCAACCTTTTTTGACTTTCCATTAACGAAAATCATATCGTGAGAACACTCTATTAAAAAAGTCAATTGAGAGCGACCACACAATTATATAGCCCAGGCCTTGAAAATAGAGAATAAGAGATCGTTTTCGAGATCAAAATGTTTTTGTATTTCATATTTGTTATTAAATAAATGATACAGACTTTTTAATCTCTACACATTGGACTCAATGTCATCTATTTATTTATTTGACGTTTGTAAATCTTATTAAATTTTTTTTAATTCTTTTTCTTTTCATCATTCTAACAGAAGAAAGTTTGAAGTAATGTCTGCGATTTGAACAGATTAATAGCAAGTTGCTAGTTCCTACTTATAAAAATTCAAGTCAGAAAATTATCCAGTGTGCGAAGAGTCTTATTGGAATAATGAATACCATTTCATTCATTTAAATGTATATTTAATTACCTTTATAATTAAAATCCTATTTGCATAGTTTTTGTTTGAGGCGGGAAAACAATATCGTTGCAATGGAAATCTACGTATAGAATGGAAATAATAATATGATGTAACTGAATGCTATATGAACTGTATGTTTCATTTTGTATCTAATGCAGGCTAAAAAGGGAAAAATGAATCAAATTTTTGTTATAACTAGCTCGCCTCCTTAGATAAGATCGTTAGGTGCAGATTCGAAATCCGAGTCGAACACAACTATGAGGTTATCCATCAAGAATTTTTTAGTAGTCTAAAGTTAAAAGCTGGTGAAGTGGTTGTAGTATCTTGGAAAAAGACCCATATGGTCACCTTTTCTATGTTAAAATATATTCTTCTAGATGGCTAATCACTCAATAAAATTGAGCGCGGTGACCGAAAATTAGTTAGGACAATATAGGTAATAATACTTTTAAAATACAGGAAAACTTAAAGTTTTACCTCTTATATGTAGATTTTTCTGATTTGAAACTTAGCCCTACAAAAAATAATAACTTTTTAATCAAAAAGGTATAAAGAATCAAAAACCATGTAATAAATAAATATTGTATACTTGAAATCAGATTTTTTTAATTAATAACAATAATAATATCCTCCTAATCAATTTGAGCCACGACGGCCAATCTGACTGAGATGGGCAGGAGATAGGTGTTACAGTGCATAAGTGTAGGCGCAGCCACAAGTGCATTCTCTACCTTTTATCTTAAAGTCCGATAGGACGATACTTCTACACGACCGGTGAGAGTTAAAGCGCAGGACCGATGGCTTTACGTGGTTTCCGAGGCACGGGGGTGAAACACCGCCAACTGCCTAACTCCGGGCTGTTACTGAAAATATCTTAACAGAAAATCTCAGTAATTAAAAGTTAAACAACTTATTTTTTTTTAACTTAATAATTAAACCTAGGACCTCCGGATCTGCACCCGTACACGCTAGCCACTAGACGACTGAGGCCGTTTTTTTAATTATATAATTTAGTACCATCATTGAAATATAACTAATAAGTTATAAAAAAACATATTTCTCTTTTTTGAAGTCGGAACTATCACTACGCTTAAAGGTACGCAAATCTAAACAAATGGTTAATAATAGTTGAACTATACATAGGGCTACACGTTTTTATATCCTTATCTTTTGACATCCAGTCTGTTCCAGCTTTTTCTTCGACTACGTTTGCACATTTTTTCTTTGGGAAACCTCTATAGGTATACGTATTGGGTCAACCTTTTACTTTTCTCGACTTGGATTGATGGTGGGGTGGGGGGTTTATGGTATATATTCCCCACGCTGACCAGCCGGCTTGGGGAATCGATAGGGGTCGACATTGATGGGACGATGCTAAATTATGACAACTGCCCGGTTGAGAAACGTTTTTTCTGTGTGTATCAAAGTTAGTTTCTTTATGAGGAAGTTACTTATATTATTAGTTTTGTTTATTTTATTGGGTTGTTTTTACTTTTGTTTTTCTGTGATAGAGTACACGGTAATTTCTGGCGATTTTAAATACGTATGTGGAATGAATGTGTTAAATACAAATGACTTGTGTGAAGTGTGAATGAAAGAAAAAATGAGTGAAAGGGTCAGAATGTGTTCGGACATGTTTAATTTTGAATGACAGTTTTTAGTTTGAAATATAAGCGAACTGCATAAACGTAAGGTGATACATAGGTTATTGCTGGTATCCTCAATCCCACTTACATGTTAATGTAATTGTGATATATATATATATATATATATATATATATATATATATATATATATGGATAATCAAAGTCAAAACAATTCAGATAGATAAATTCTATTCCTATATATTTTCCTTAAACTTTCAATAATGATTATGGTCGTATTTCGACCACCAGGCGAGCACTAGTACCTATAGAAAATTACATTCAATAGGTAATGCTATACGAGTATAAGTTCTCCTCCACACAATTTAGGCAGTAAACAACAAGTAAAAAAAAAAACAAATACAGGTATATACTGAAAATGCAAAAACAATAACAAACGAACCAAACAAACATAAATAATAACGTTACACGCGATATTTTTCAATTCAGACCCTTTAATCCTATATTAATGGGTCCGAATGATACAATTCGGTTTGAAATTACAATCCTTTAGGTATTGCCAAACTGGGTTGGACTACGGTCAATTTAGTATCCAATTACGTTCAGCTTAGTGGCAAAAAATCCGGGGTAATCCAGGTTTTAAAGGTGCTACAAGATGTGAGCGAAGCGGGTTATAAGGTTTTTGTCTATACATATATATTATGTATATAAAATTTTGATGTGTGCATTTGTAATCTTAGTTATCCCGTAGCTTTATTTTTGTAGTTATTGGTGTGGGGATTGAAGGTAGCCTATATCCGTCCCTAGGATGCATCGGGGGCATTTAACAA